ACCGCGAGGTTATGTGGAGTCATTAAATTTTTGTCCTTGTGATTTGAAATATCAACGAGAAGTGCGCAAACATATTTTAGGACAAGAACTACAGCGGGCGATAATAGAGGGAAAATACTGCTACGAATAAATTCAACTCTTCCTAAATAATGTGGCTTATGTATTATCTGTTTAAGAGTGTCGTATGTTTCCATTGGAAAAACTGGTACTGGTAGAGCATTAAAGAACATTTTGAGAAGAACAGCAGCCACATGGACACCATAATCTTCTAAATTTACCGGATTTCCTATTTAATCGGGAGACAAAGAGATAATATAAAAATTTTGAAAGTGAATTTAGGATATTTATCGTATAAAGTGTGACAAACCTCGATCATAGGCTTCCTTTGCTTGTCTTAATAATACAGAGCTAGGTGATCTACGGAATACACCTTCAGTTTCCAAACCTAATTCAATTTTGTAATTAATTAAAAAAAGAAACAATTTATAGTTTTTTGAATTGTTATCAAATAGAACTATCGGTACCTTCTGATCTTAGATACGCGACACAGTCTCTAACAACTCTTGGTAATCCATTTTCACCCTCGGTTCCCATGAGTTTTTCAACATGAACCCCAAACATCAAATGTCCTTCTTCATCATAATTGGTTGGTAATTTAATTCTATCCTCAAATTTTAAATTATACCTATGGCATAGAAATAAATTATTAAATCAAGTACATTCAAATAATTATCATATTACAAATATCGTACCGTACTTACTCGTAAACAGCTGGAGGAATGTCAATCTGCGTAAGAGGAACATATTTAGCTAGTTCAGACAAAGTAAGAACGTATTTAACTTTTTTTGCAAATTTTGGACTAAAACAGATATAAATATTCAGTTATATTATCTTTGAAATCCCAAAGGACCTAATGACAATCGTGATTATATATTATATTATATAATATATATATATTTTTTTTTTATGTATGTCAAAAATACCTTATTACAACATTCATAAAATCAAGATATACACGAGCCCAAGTAGTTGGCTGAACCATATATAAAGACTTTAAATTTTTCTTGTATCTTTAAAGGTAAATTTGTCAAATGTGTATTTAAGTAATTCTGCAGAAAATTTGACATAAGAAAATCGTATTTATTTACTTTCTACTCAAACTTTTATATGCTCGAAACATCCAGGTCCAACCAGGATTATATTTAGCACCTCCAGCAAAGAGTACAACAGTATAATCACTTTCGACAAAAATATCTAGTTTTTGTAAAATTCGACTTAATTTTTTCATTAATAAAAAATTTAAAATTAAAAATAAAATTGATAAAAAATATGATATAAATATAATTAAAAAAAATTTGACATACGATAAAATTCTATCGTAATCAACATCAGCAGGATTTGGCATATTACAAGCGCATATCACAACCATTGGTTTGCTTTCGAAGTCAACACCTGTACAAACAAGTTCAGTCCAAATTCAGTCGCGTAAATATCGAAAAAAAAATGGGACCCAAATGTTTTTTACTTTTAACTATTTAAGC